TTTTAAATGTTACTGTTAAGATATTCAGTTACAAATTCGATAAATAACTGAATGTATTAATTATAACTTAATTTTTCATAATAAACGGATCTAGACATTTTTCAATGAAAGATCTTAACATTTATTTTAAAATATTTAAATTCAAAATACCAGTTTTTCACAAAGCACCTAAGGTATTCCTATAGTATTGTACCGTTACTGGATTAAAGATATTGAAAAAACAACAAACCGGTCCGTTGTCAAACATATCGAAAAAAAAACAAGTTTTTTGTTTAATAATTTTTGGCCAATATTTTTTTAATTAGGTAAATTTTAAATAAATTATATTTATAATAGACACAATAAATGCACAATATTGCATGTAAGTTATTAGAAAGATAAGTGTGGAAAACAGTTCTTATTTCCCTTAATACTAACATGCTGGAATGTTTGTTTCTTTGAAAATTAAATCGATTGAGCTATCTCTTGTTAATATAAATTAATTCTCCTTCGCGCTAAATTTCCATCACACTCGAATATTGCATTTTGATAAAACAATCGCATTTACCTAAAAAAACTTATAAAGTTTTATGTAAGCAATAGTATTGTGGCACATGCCGGACATTTTCATTCCTACCCTTATAGTGAGTTAATAAAAATTAATTTTTTTAGCAGGTTGCCAAAATTTTTTCTCTATTTATTTTTAAATTACTTTAACATTAAATAATGTTTGTTTGCTAACAAAACGAAATCGTAACTAAGTGACCAAAATCAGAGCGAAAAACTTTTAATAATTTTGATAACCTTTCATCAGATTTAACATTTAAATGAATAAACAACGAGCCAAGAAATTTCTTTTTAAACCTATAAGAATTTATTAAATAAAGTGTAGACCAATTGAAATTTGGAACACAACATTCATTTTTACCAATTTTCCTATATAAAATTTCTTTACACGTTCGGTAAATCATATGTTAATATCTGTTAAAGACAAACTTATAAAATATTAGTTTGATTTCTGTTACCAATAGAAAATTTACATTCCCTTTTTCATCCTTGTAAAGAGTGTCTCAAAATTCACTCAAGAAGTAATTTTCATAGAAAACACAGGTTTGTAATTAAAAATTATAAATTATTTATTGATTCATATAGTTTACAGCATTGGGTTATGTATGGAATAGCATATCGGGTAAATGGCCTCCACAACTGATTGTTTTGCATATATGCGAAATTTCGTTGATACAACGCTCAATTTCCTCCTTCAAGGCGTGTTTAATCGTGGGCTTTTATAATTTAGCATATCGTTGGAAAGATTTCGAAAACCTATAAAAATTTTGTTGAGTAAAATAGAACGGTTCAATAACATTTTAAACCTCCCCAGAAAATGTCTCAAACTATATTAAAATTAAATAACAATGAATAAAATTCGATAGAATTCGAAATGATTTCAAATTTTACAACGTAGTCTTATAATCATATTATGAAAGGAGTCCTACCACTGCACTTTAATTAGCTTCCATTTTATGTTAAAAATCTTTTATACGAGAAAAAAGCGCGGTGAAATCTGTACCAATTAATCTTGTGTCATTTGATTCTTTGTTTTTAATCTGAAATCGAATAGAAAATATTTAATTGTATTTCATTTCCGGATATTTTAAATTTCTACATAACCTGCCATATATAAGAAAGTCTTAACAACTATATGAATAAAATATGAATACATTAGATGGAATATTTTTCACATTTTTAAATCATAGTGATGGTATAACAATTTATATTCGTTTCTCAAACATAATATTTACCAATTATAAGCTTAGTTTAAAAACAAAATTAATTCAAAATTTTAATAATTAAAATATTTTTTGACAAAGCCAAAGTTTTAACTTTTTTTTTTAATTTAAAATAATACAAATTTAGATGAAATGTGCGGCTAGTAAAACTATACAAATATAATATTAAAAGTATCAAGGACATTGTAGCAAACGGAAATTAATATGTATGAAAGTTGTTGGTAAACAAATTCATATGCATATTTTTTCATAATAATTATTTTCGTCATTAATTTTTAAAAGATAAAAGAGAGCAAAGATTACAAAAATTATATTGCAAATCATATTAAATTTGTGAATGATTTTAATAAAATAATTTTCAAGTACAGAAAAGAAAAAAATTTAAGACACAAATTATTAGACTATGCCAACCCAGAGAGCTTCCGTTTAAAAGAAAACCGATGACAATAATTTCGCACTACATACTACGAAATATTTTATTTTGTATTTTCTTGTTTCAATTTTGCTATACCTTAAGAAGATTAATTAATTTATATACACATACATATACATGGGTCAAAAATTTATTACATTTTCAATTTTACAAGTAACTATATTGTCAGATATTTTATATATTATGTATCAAGAAATTTTATTCAAAATTTGTACGAAATTTAAATAATATTTCTAAATCATGTTTAAATATTTTCGTTTAATTTTTGACTCTCTACGACATTATGAAAATGTATATTGGTGGAACAATCTATTAAATTCTTATAAGTAGTTTAATGTTAAAAAGCATATCCTGACTGTATAATAACAGTTACAGTAAAATATGTAGATATTTTATATTTTTTTCTGGTAAAATTAACTGTTCAATCGATTTTGTTATTCAAAACTGTTTTTTCCTCTAAGTTTTACAGCAAAAATTTTAATTGTTAATACAATAAAATACAGTTTTGATCGTTAATCCAAGCTGTTATGGCACCTTTCATATGCTATAAAAAATTTCGGATAGATTTCGAATATAATTTTTTGAAAATGAATGAAAAAAAGTGTCATTAGGCCATATCTCGAGAGTAAGTAGACTTTACTTTGTGCTACACTTTCTAAAAAAAACATGGGGGTCTCAATTTAAAGAAATGGAAAAGACTTGGCAACTCGGTCCGTAGTAGGAGTTTCAAGTATGTGTTTTAAAGACATGCCTCGCACTCAGAGGTGAGGGGCAATCCTTTTATACTTATACGCGGTGTACTGACGTCCAAATTCTATAATCTCAATTCAAAATCTCAATTCAAAAAATAATTAATCAAATTTTTAAATTTCAAAAAAAACTTTTTCTTAATTTAAATATTAACTGAATTGTGCACAAAAATAGCAAATGAATTTTTTTATATTAACAAATTTCGGCTATATTACATCGATATTATAACAATCCAAAATTTAAAAAAAAATTTATTGACATTATTTTGTCATATACCAAAATTCTAAAAATAAAATTAAAACTCATTTAGTAATTAAAATGTACACTTAATCAATTTATCATAAAAAACAGCAAAGTTGAATCAAACGAGAATGTTGTTTTCTTTTCTTAATCCATTCAAATTCGTCGTAATTTTACAAAAAGATTAATGTTATAAGTATATTTAAACTTATTAATGGCTTTTTGTGCTTAAGAAATTTTAAAAGATTTTTTATTGATTTTCATAAACCAGTAATAAAAACAAAAACAGTTCCAAACTAATAATAACTGCAACCTTAAAATAAAATTTGGACCGGGACTTTACAGTCCCTAATTTCTTGTTTTAACATAATTATCATTTTCATGTATTATAAATATAAACGCATTTACAATAGATATTAGTTGATAAAAATTCGAGAAATTACAAGAATTATTGATAAAAATCAACTATCACTCAAATATTAAAACTTGAACTAAACCATTTCTAAAATATTTTATAGAAATCGTGAATACTTCCCTTTTGGCTCTTGTACTTTTTCAAATAACAATCTATAAGAATTGATTTATTCTTAAAAAAATTATCAATCTGCTTATAGTTTTTGTTGATAAATAAAATACATGTTACAAGACGTGTTATATACAAAATAGTACTAAATTGTGAAAAGAAGACACCTAGATAAATAAAATTAGATAACAAACCAGAACAAGAATTTTGAAATATTTTACGTTAGATTAGCATTCTTTATGTGTATGTATGTACAAATTCATATTTACGATATTGAATTAAAATATGTACCCTTATAATCGTATGCACTTATGAACCATTTTATTTCAATTTCAAAAAATTGTGCAAATTAAGAAAAATTTTAGTAATTTCTAAACCGCTTCCAAAAAACATTAGAGCTTTATAATGCATGAAATACTTTAGCTTTATTATCTACGATATCATTCCTCAAACCAAAGTTTTTCTTTATTCTAAACGATAAATTAATTAAGGAACTAAGTCACAATAAATTTAATGTCTAATAAAATTATTTTATTTAACGATAATTAAAATAAATTTCTAAAATTCAAAATTTTAATTTTTAACAAAATCTTACACGAATTTAATTTTGCGACAATTCTCTCATTCTCTCCTCTTCTCTTCCGTTCTCTGATAACAAAATATAATAAGAGCAGAATTTTCCGTACATTTTATAAGAAAAGCTTTTTTTTCTGTTTTTTTTTTTTTTTTAAATCAAAAAATATATTTAACTTTCAAGTTTAACAGAAATAATAATAGGACGTACGCGTATACAACATTAACAGAGGCTTTAAACTTTAAGCGTGAAAAAGAAGAAAAATCTTTTGCCTGTTATTTTATTTTTATTACATTTATTTTGTTATTGTATTTTTGATATTAAACATTAAAGATTTTAAAGAATACCAAATGCACAACATATTTTTCGTCAGTCTTTTAAAGTTAAGCCTATCGTTAAGACCATGAATATAATATCAAGTGAAATAATTAATAAAATAATTTAAAATTTTATTCAACAAAATTATATTTGATTTTATTGTACAGAAATTTTTTTTTCAATATAGTATAATTCTTATGTAATTTTATTAATTGAGAAAAGAAAACAAGGATTTATTTTAATCAGTTTAAAAATTTTCTATTTATCGCAAAATAATAATACTGAAAAAATTTAATAGCAAATATTTTTAATGTATTATATAAAAATAAAAAAAGTGTATTTGGATTTTAATTAAAAAATTTTAATACAATAAAAAAAAATAAACAAAATAATAATAATAATAAAAGGATATACCCAAGGATATTCGATTAAACGCAATTTGTGGATTTTAAATTAGTTGCAAACAAAATACATTGTTTCTGTTTTCACTCAGGTGAGTTTTATTATAATACCTATGTATATAAAACAAAATTATTATAGTAATATATAAATTATAATTTATGCTACATAAGTACAAAATGGCAATGAAAATGAAAGTGTTAATAAAATTTTAATTAGAAAATCTCTACATAATATTTTATAATTTATGGATGCGAACACAAATAGTATAGAAGAATTTTTTTTTTAATTAATTTGTCACGGCTAATAAAACAAAAAGACAAAAATTTCTTACCTGAATGAGATTTGAAATAGTAAGCCAAAAAAAAAATAGAAATAAAAAATGAAGACGATGCTGGGAGGCGACAATAAAGAAGGTGTTAAAACCAATTTATATTTTCATTTTTCTTTGTTTTGTAGATTTATTTATTTGGTTTCTTATATACATACTATAAACACATACGTATATAAATGCATTTGTTTATATACGTATACATATATGATTATGCAATTAAATTGTTTTCAAGTACCCGTTAGTTCGCTAAATGATTTATGATATTTCACGGACAACAAATTTTTGATTTTTTCTTTTGTCATTTTTGCTTTTGGTTTTATTTGTGGCAAAAGTTTTTATATATTGTCATATTTATGTATATATATATATATATATATATATATATATATATATATATATACCTCATGTATATTTAAACACATGTGCGTTCAGAAATAATGACATGTCATAATTATATACTCTTATATATATATATATATATTATAGATATATACACAGATTTATTATTCATGTACCAAAAACTACTTGTACCATCTGTATATAAATAGAAATTTGTTATATAATAAAATACTTTTTTGGTTGCTCTTTATAGAAATACAAAAACCAAAAAAAATTTATACTTTTTCCTTCTACGAAATCATCATTTTCAGATTTACCTACATAATATTGTGCTACGACGAGTTTTTAATGAAAAGAAGAAAACTATCCAATAATTTATGTAGATAAAATAAAAAGTGTGTTTTGATTTTAATAATGTAGAAATATACTTATGATATTCCTATATAGTGAATCATAAAATTAATGGTAATAATAAAAATATCAATGAATCCCACTTAATGTGTATTTAAATCGTGAAATTCCTACATATGCTGTAAGTTCATTATTTTGCATAATTCTTTTAGCGTGATGATCATAATTAGTGGACAATATAGACCTAATGTGTAAATAATAAAATAAGGCAGAATTTTAAAATAAAAATTTTTTTTACCAATATTTATTTATATTATATGTATTAATATTGTCTGAAATACAATTCGAAATAATTGATTTCATTGACAATTTATGTATATTTGTATAATATATAAATACAAATATAAATTATATTCCGTTTAGAAACAAAATGAGGGATCTAGTCTAGGAACCTACCCTAATATGAGGAATATTTAGGAACACTCCATAGTATTTGTACATTGAAGATTAATTGAAGGTCTTATATATATATTATATATAGGTCTTATATATATACTAAAGTTGTTATACCCTATAACAACTAAAGAATATTATCGAAGTTTTCTGTATTCAATTTCAAAATAAATTTCCGGATGGGAATCTCTAAAATGAAATAAAAGTATTAATGAACTTTTCTATATAATTTTAGATACCAGGTAATATTTGTGTCACTGCAATTATAAAGGTCTAGTTTATATTCTCTAACAAATAAAGACGGCAAATTTTTGAAACTTCATTTTAACCCTATAAGATTGCGTAACTGTAAATTGTAATTGCGCTCAAAAGTTTTTCCATTTGTTTTTGTTTAATATACGCATGATGTCAATCTCAGTTTGATATAAGAGTTTGTATTTCTCATATTTTGTTATCTTATAATTTGTCTATACAAAATTTTTATTTTTAAGGTTTTTGATCTGTATGCAACAACAACAACAATCTCTTCTTTCCTTTTATTGTTTGACGTTATAATTCAAAATAAAATTTCTCTAAAATGTTTTGTTTACAGCCTATGTATATAAAAATTACTATGTAGGTATTATTATGTAGGTACATGTCTATTTATAGCGACGCGGTTAATATAAGTGTATAAAAAATTTGTTTAAAATTTTTTTCAAAAATACTATGACTTGAATGACTTTAAAACCCGCCAAAAGTACAATATGTCTAGAATTTTTTCTTAGTAAATTTTGAAATAATAAAAACTATAAATAAAGTTACAAGTCTATAAATTAATAATAGAAAAGAAATTCTGTTGCTTATGCGCGAGGCTACATTTTTTTAAAAATTTGAAATGAAAATTATATGAGAACTAGTATATTTATTTTTTTATAAAAAATATTAAATAAAATAGGCCTAAGAGGTTGAAATACAATGAATTTTTTATACGTTGCAATTTATGCAAAGTTTCTCTTCTAAGTCTTTTGAATAGTCTCTATGTTACTTAAATAAATCAAAAAATTTAGAGAAGTCTAACATTGCTTTTTATCAATTCTTTCCATTTTTAATTACCAATTCTTAATCATTTGGCGATAGTTCAGTATATTAGCCTCTTGCATTTCAATATATTTGATTTAAAATTCAATATTACCGAAACATGTTCTTGTTTTCAACATTTTATTACTATATACTTTAAATAAACACAATAACCACTATAATACAAAATTTATTCATATATAATCAAATATTAAAAAACTTAAATGCATTTTCTGACTATTAATTAAAAATATATAGTATAAAATAAAATGCAAAACCACTTTTAAAATTATAGAAGAACTTCTTCTCAAATTTTATTTAGCTTATGTCCAAGAAAAGACATTAAAAACATCTTGTTTTCAAGTTTCAATGCCAAATTAAAATTGAATCTAATAAAACTTTAAAATAAACACAAATATATGTACATATATATTCACATATTTGAAATAAGACATGGTTATCAAATACAATACATTAACAAATTATTTTCGAACGTATACCAACTATAAATACGCAACAAATGATAATATTGTCCTCATTTAATAAAATTTAACCTTAGAAAAAATCTTTCTAGTTATTTACACTCAAGCTTTAAGCAAATGTTTATTATATATAGAATATTATAAGTAAATTGCAATACAAAATGAAAGAAAAACAATATTAAACAACTCTTTAAGTCTAGCCAATAATAGTCAAGTTTAATTATATTAAAAATTCAAAAACTAAAATTCAAAAATTTTTTAAACTAGATTTTACCCAATTACAATTTCTATATAAAAAGTTCTTCGAACTTAAATCTACATCTATTTGAAAATAATTTATCAGAAAACCTTGAAGAAATTATCAAATAAATTTTACAAGAATATACGTATAAGAGATTTTAATTTTTGCGTGATGCAAATTGCATATTATTGAATTAAATAAGAAAACTATTTTCAATTTTTTTTTGAATCTAATTGGAAAATTTTTGTGTTAATTTACAAATAAATTTTTGCATATTTCAAAAGATTTCAGTAAATTAGAGTGAAGTGTTTGTTATTTTCAGAGTATAATTGCAAAAAAATTTATAAATAAATTGCTAAAGAATTTCTAAATAAATTGTTGTCTATACCGAAAATTAAATTTTTTCGAAATAAAACTTGAGTAGTTTTTTTTTGAACCAATTTATAATTTTGACCCTTAGCATTATAAAAATTACAGTCATGATGCTCAAATTATAAAATTTTCTTGTCTAGTCTCTTTTATTTTCTACATTCTTATATTACGGAAATAGTATAAAAAGCACAACTTAAATAATTTGTCCCTTAGTTACACGAGAACTGAATGTTAATTGACATTTTCACCATCAAAATTCATTAACAATTTCTGGTTTGTTTTCTATAAATTCCTAAGGTTTGGTTTAAAATTTAAAAAAAAATTATTAATTGTTTGATTAATAAAAAATTCTCTTGACTAAGTTTTTTAACAAACTGACAATCTAATTAAAATCGGCTCTTCTTATATTGAAATTGACCTTGTATAAGCTTTTTTTTCTGTATATTTTGCAAATCTGAATATCCAAAGTAACTTGAATCTGTACATGAATAGAAAAGAGAATGCTAGATAAATCATACTCACAAACATATGTTATGTGCGAGTATATTGAGAACCAATTTATGAAATGAAGAAAAAAAATGCAAGAATTCTTGCAATGAGTGTTAATTTACATACTAATATAAATATAAAACATATAATTAAATTTTAATATCTGCAATTTATTATTGAATTGAAATTAATTTAAAAAATTGAAGGAAAATATTATTTTCTTTTTAAAAAAAAAAATCAAATACTTAATACAGGTGTAAGGCTTGCAGGTGTTTAATATATACGTATAATATAATATTGCATACTTAATTGTATATTAAATACTTTTAATAAAATTTTAAATTAACAAAGAAATGCAAATTTTTGTTGTTGTACATTTAATGTTAAACAAAATCTGATTGAAACTTTTGCTTATCGCTCAAAATTAATGCGACATCCAAATCGTCTCAAAAAAAAGTTTTAATACAGTTCATATACCGCACTAATACAAATTTATGTTATCTAAACAATACCTGTGACATCCAAATTGTAAGTAAAACTCAGTAAGTTTACAAAGTATTATGATCCAAATTGTAAACTAAAAAATTTTTACAATGTCAACTGCTCCAAAATGTTTATAAATGTCGCAGATCTAATATTGAAACTTTATTTGTAGAAAAAACACTTATACCAGTTTAAGCAAATAAAAGTTAATTAACAAATAAAGTGCGTTTCTCTGTTCGCAGTGAGAGTAATGTAACAGTGAGAGTATTAGTCAGTGTGCGTGTTCACAAAATATAAAATAAAAAAAATCTGTTTCCAGATTTCAAATTAGTAATTAAGCATTACGAGTACTATATTAAGTTGGCAATATAAATTATTATAGAAAAAATTGAAACTTCCACCTTTTGTTCGTTCTTATAGTTTCAATCCTATTTTATTTGTAGGTACATTATATATTTTGCTATTGTCCGTGCAAGAAATATGATATCGCG